GAATAGAATAGAATAGAATAGAATAGAATAGAATAGAATAGAATAGAATAGAATAGAATTCTTTATTGGCCAAGTGTGATTGGACACACAAGGAATTTGTCTTTGGTGCATAAGCTCTCAGAGTACATAAGAAAAAATAAAATATGTTAATCAAGAATCATAAGACACAACATGTAGTGATAGTCATAGGTTACTAATAAGCAATCAAATCATACTAGGTGACTAAATAAAACAATATAAATCATAGAGATATTAGCAACAAGGTTATAGTCATAAGCGGGAGGAGATAGGTAATAAGAAGGATGAGAAGAATAATAGGAATACAGTCTTAGTAAATAGTTTGAGAGTGTTGTGGGAATTAGTGGTTTAGCAGAATGATGGCATTCAGGAAAAAATGTCTTTGTGTCTAGTTGTTCTGGTGTGCAGTGCTCTATAGCATCATTTTGAACTGGTCATAAATCACTTTTATAAGTGGTGTTGTAACTTAAAATGGCAATGGATGATTATAAGTTGAGGATAACCTGTATAGCTAATATCCAAGAGTAGAGAAAGTTCCTTTGACATTGGATAGAAAAAAGCAATAGAGTTGACACACACTTCTCTGAAAGTTGAATCATCATTAATATAACTTTTCCTCTGGAAATTTCATGTAAAGGTTGACCATAGGGACACTATAAACTTCTGTTCGACATCAATGCCAAGCAGAAGTCTTCAGAATTACTTTCTGCAAAATTCTCTGGCAAAAGGGTCCAGACCTTCTGTAAACAGAGTGTACACGGTTCAATCCTGCTAAACAGACTAGAAAGATACTAAGGACAAAGGAACAGAAAGTTGCCAAAAGATCTAGAACAGCTAGTTCTAGACCACATTTCCCCATCCCTTCATTTCTAAGCTCCATTTCCAACTGTTAAGGCATTTTCTGTACAATACCCCACTGAAATCTTATTTGAAGTGAATCAAGAAAATAAGTATCAAGCAGATATGGAACTATGAGGCAATCACCTTTTCAAACACTTTTCCTAGAAACAGAATATTTTGGAATGATATATAATTATATAGGGTTTTTTTTCAGACAAACAAGTGGTTATCCAATCTCTTCTTAAAAACTTCCAGTGTTGGAGCATTCACAGCTTCTGGAGGCAAGTTGTTCCACTGATTAATTGTTCTGTCAGGAAATGTCTCCTTAGTTCTAGGTTGCTTCTCTCCTTGATTCATTTTCACACATTGCTTCTTGTCCTGTTCTAAGATGTTTTGGAGAATAGCTTGACTCCCTCTTCTTTGGGGCAGCCCCTGAGATATTGGAGCACTGCTATTATGACTCCCCTAGTCCTTCTTTTTCATCGAACTGAACGTACCCAATTCCAGCAACTATTCTTTATAAGTTTTAGCCTCCAGTCCCCTAATCATCATTGTTGCTCTTCTCTACACTCTTTCTAGAGTCTCAACATCTTTTTTACATTGTGGCAACCAAAACTGGATGCAGGATTCCAAGTGTGTCTCAGGTGAAAGGAGAGTTCAAGCATCAGGAAATACACCCCACATGGATCACTCTAACCATAACATCATTTCAAAACACCAACAAGATAGATCCAAAGCTAGTGCTCAGCCTATCAGATAATAAAATTTAAAAAACAGATGTTTGTTTTATAGGGAAGAAGGTTTCTAAGAAATCACAATATTAAAATTGCAGACTACAACATCAATAAAATGTTGCAAGGGTTGGTGTAAGAAAGCACACACTCAGAAGGGAAGAACGTTGATGCCTAACCATATAATCTAAGTTTTAAGGAGGAAGCAATGGGGAAAAATACCTAAAATTGGAATGGGACTCTTCCAAAATGTGTTCTACTCTTTAGAAATAACTACACAACCCATGATTCATTGATTCTATTCTATTCTATTCTTCTCTTCTATTCCTATTCTGTTCTTCTATTCTATTCCTGTTTTATTCTCTTCTGTTCTTCTATTCTATTCCTATTCTGTTCTTCTATTCTATTCCTTTTCTATTCTCTTCTAGTCTAGTCTATTCTTCGATTCCAATCCTATTCTATTCTATTCTTTGATTCTATTCTATTCTTTGATTCTATTCTATTCTGTTCTTTGATTCTAGTCTATTCTTTGATTCTTCGATTCTATTCTTCGATTCTATTCTATTTTTCTACTCTATTCCTATTCTAGTTTTCTATTCTAGTCTATTCTTCGATTCTGTTCTATTTTTCGATTCTATTCTTCAATTCTATTCTTTCTTATTCTATACTATTATATTCTATACTTCTCTTCTTTCTTATTCTATACTATTCTATTCTTCTATTTGATTCTATTCTTCTATTTGATTCTATTGTATTTGATTCTATTCTTCTATTTGATTCTATTCTTTGATTCTATTCTTTCTTATTCTATTCTATTCCATTCCATTCCATTCCATTCCATTCCATTCCATTCCATTCCATTCCATTCTATTCTATTCTATTCTATTCTATTCTACTCTACTCTATTCTATTCTATTCTATTCTAGTGTGGTAGTTAGAATGCAGGACTTATCTCTTTTTTGTGGCAGCCCCTCAAGTATTGGGACACTGCCATCATGGCACCCCTAGTCCTTTTTTTGCACTAGACTAGCTTCCTCTCCTTTGAATGCCATCTCAGACTTTGCATCATATTTCCTTCAAGCACCCTCAAATCCATTCTCCAAATCGTGTAAAGATCTCAGTGACCTTATTGTAGGTGGCAAGTTTAAATGTGCCATATTAATAACTTCTTATCCAAGACAAATTAAGTCCTTATGTGTCAAAAGCTCTCGGTGCTGGATTACCTACAAGAGAAGTATTTATTGAATAAATGTTAGATCCAATTTCATTTTAATGTGACTGACAGCAGACTTCGGCCTTTGCAAATGAGATTTAAAAAAACACTCAGATTTGAGCCTGCATTGCAACTTTACACC